ACTGCAGAACAGAATAAAAAAAAAAAAAAAAAAAAAAATCACAGGAAGGCATTTGCTCTGGGGTGAAGGGGAACCAGCTGGGCTTATGCATGGGTTGACTTCTTCAAGCAGTTTGGGATATGCTTCTGAAAATGTGCTAAAATTGAATTTAATGTAAGAAATTCCTATTTATGGTTTCTGGCCCATGGGTCACTTCTGTAACATACTGTGGTGTGTACTTGGTACTACAATGAAATGGAATGGAAATTCGGATCAGTTTCAAAAATCATCATCAATTTAAGTAATACAAGATGTGTTACCTTATTGTTAAAGCAGACCTTTACCCCCTTTCACTAAAAATCACATCAGCATGCAGTTCTGCACGCTGATATGAAATAATTTTACATTCATTAGCTAAACATTTTACTTACAATTTCTTTTTTTCCAACTTCCTGCTCCACTTTGACACAAATGATGTAATGTCCCCAAGCATTGCATCCTGGGAAGGTTACATCAGCAGAGCATTGCTGGGAAATCTCATCTGTAATCTCATGAGATCTCAGGGAAAGGCATTTTCCGCCCGAGATGATGTGCATGGTCACATGCCCTAGTCACATGTGCCAGAGTTCCAGGAAGTAAAGGGAGATCTAGTAACCTGCCCTTAGTTAAAATGGCAACTGTGAGAATACAGGGGAGGAAAAGAGAAATAAGGTATGCAAAAAATAAAAAGCCTACAATTATCTAGAAGTATGTGTTTGTCGATTGTCATTACTAAACATTTCTAAAGGTGCCTTTGTTGTTATTTTGAAGATATGGGTAAAGTCTTCCTTTATAAGAATTAAAGGATGTAGAAGGGTATAAACCAAGGCTTATTAACTTCCAAAAATTAAACCTTGAAATGTTGCATTTACTGTAACATTTTGTAAATAATATAAAAAAAAAATAAGAGGATTCTTTTTTTTTCTAGAAATATACACATAGCTTGAGAGAACAGGGCAATAAATGTACGGGGGTGGGGACCTACTTTAGATAAAGTGACATGCACTAGGGGCTACTTGGCAAATATCTGATGGTACAAAGGCGTGCATAATAAAATAATGTTGAGGAACACTGGACTACATGACGCTACTGAAAACTGCCAAGTTGGCTTGGAAAAGTTGAAGAGAAAAACACTCAGACATCAGCATCAATATTTTAAAAAGCAATTCCAGGCAACAAGTAAAAGCATTCAGTGAATGAAGAATTATATTCAGTAAACATGTTCATCTCTGGGTTAACCCCTAAACCACCCCCTATAATCACTAGACTAGATTTTATTTTAATTCAACCTCAAAGACCAGACTGCAGTGCCCACATCACTCCCTGGTGACATGAATGCTTCTTATTGCCTATAAGAAGAATACATCGGAGGAGTCCTCACAGGGCCCTAAAGACTTCAAGTAGTGGCATTATAATGCAAGGGACAGCAACAAGACTAGTTGGCAGGCCTGGATGCAGCTTCGAACCACCAGTCTTCAGTGGTATGAGGGTTTTTTCCCTGGATAGGTGTAGCCCAGCTGTGTCAAAAATAAAAAAGCAGCTTTCCGCTACAATATCCTTTAGTCTGGAACGTCTCTCCCCCGCTGAGTGAGAGGGAATGTTTGCAGAATTACTCACCCGCTCTGCAGTATGTTCATGACAGCTTCTTCATCATTCATATTGACAGCTCTATGAAGATGTTCTCCATTCATTGGTTCTCCTGGAAGACACACACACAAATACATTTACCACTATTAAGATACTCCTAGCTGGTGCACCAATCAAAACCACTTTTGCTTTTTTCATTTGTTAAGTAGTGTAGGGAAGAGTTAGTGCCTCTGCCAAGATTTTACTACCCCATTATTATTCCCTCATTTCCTGTCCCCGTTAGAATGTTGTCAACATTACAGGAAATGAAGGGATATCTCCAACGGGGACAGACAATAGAAAGCTGATGGAGATTCTTGGCATAGACCACTCTCCAAAAAAAGAGATGAATGGAAATTTCCCCACCAGAACATAGACAGCAATAAAATCTGGCTCTTCCCTAAGCTATCAAAAAAAATTGGCTCGAGTTACATTTTAAGTTGGCTGTAGCATTACAAATACATACATACATACATACATACATACATACGTCATTCCAAACTACTGAAGGGCAACACCGCTAGGATTGGGTAAAGTAGGGGAACACTGTAAGTTCCCAAAATTGGACCCACATCAACGTGAGCAAACAAGATCAAGAGCTTTGATAAATGAATTATAGCATTTATTAACAACAATCTCAGCAAACCTTATAAAAACTACACAACTACTGTTGGGGAATGTTGAACATGGCTTAGTGATGCTGAGTGATCTCCAGCTGTTCCCTGCATCCGTGATTCTGTATCCTGTATCCTAATGTCCTGTTACCGACCTGGGTTGCCTTGACCTTCTGCTGTTCGGTAACCCTCAAAGACGGCTTATTCTCAACTAAGCTTTCGTCTGATGTCTTGTACTTTGCTGTCCACAAGATATTGACTCGGCCTGGCCCGGACTAAGCCTTGCCTGCTGTTCTGGTACCTCGCTGCTCGACTGTTGCTGACCCGGCTTGTCCTAGCCCTTGCTCCCTGAAGATCTTCCTTCTTCACCTGCTTCCTGCCTGGGAATCGTTTTCAATACAGATTCTAGCTTTCCTAGTGATAATGCTATCTTCCGGCACCCATACCACTCCTTGTGCACCTGTCCCACTCTCCAGGGGTTCTTGGACTGCAGCAGCAAGAGAGGCCGTCTTCATCATTTCAGGCTCCCCTGAGGTATGCAACAATTTAGTACTTTCCCTTTTGCTGTTCAAATACCATGTACTGTATATCCATTCAATAAATATAATTTATAAGACTGTGCACAAGACAGTGGTCTGGATTATTATACAGTATTACATGGGGGAGAGAGAGAGAGCACATTTTTGGCATATATATTTTTAGTGTAGAAGTGAAATTTATCAAAACTGGAGCAAACTGAATTTGGAGCAGATGCCAATATCAACCAGTCAGCTTCTCTGTACAGTTTGTACAGTTAAGCTTTGAAAATGAAAAGAAGCAGATTGGTTGCCATGGGGAACTGCTCCAGATTTTGTCTGCTTGAGTTATCATAAATTCCCATCACTGTGTTCCCCTCACATCATTATCAATAATAAACATGAACCATGATGTGTGCTCCTAACTTTCTATAGTGAGCTGACAATGCTGCACTTAAAATCATTAGCAGTGTTTTCAGCTCTGCTTGTGTTCTCCCTAGCTGAACTACTACAGAACACCTCCCCTCTATGTTATGTAGAGGAGAAGAGGGAGCACTGTTCTTCAGTCCAGCAGACAAGAACTCAGGCAGGGCTGACAACACTGCATAGAATTTAATTGTATCAGAGGCTACACAGCAAAAATGTCAAAAGTGTGTCAGTCATTTACGAACAGAAACCAAAAACAAGCTCAGTCATGAAGGGGTTAAACAGTGAAATGTGGGAAAATGTACATGTATTGTAGAGACATACCGAAGATTTTACTGTAATGCCAAGACATACAATTTAGGAAAATAATATTTTTGGTTAAGCAGCCTGCTACGTTCTGATAGCACTTACCATTAACTCAGAAAATGAATCAGTGGTGGAACAATCGCCATAGCGACCCAGACGGCCGCTATGGAGCCCGGGGCACAGGGGGGCCCAGCCAGAACATCCCCCTGATGCCGTGCTGGCCGCCTGGGTCGCTATGGCATCTCAGGCCGCTGGCTGTCACGAGGAATGCGCCGCAGCGGCACGTTCCTCCTCACAGCCGTTGCCGAGTCAGTGACAACCACCGGCTTTGGAGGAAGTGGCTGGGCCCGTCGCCGGCAGCGATGGAGGAGGCAGACAGAGGATTGGGGCTGGCAGGTAAGAGGGCTTGACCGCCCACCTGAGACCCCGCAGAGCCCACCATAGAGAGTCTATGGTGGGCTCTGCAGGGTCACCCTCAGGTGGGCGTAACTAAAAATCACAGGTCCCCATACAAAATTTTGCTAATTTCTAGTTACGTCCCTGAAATGAATATATTCAGAAAGTAAGTAAAACAGAAATATGTTAACTGTAAACAAAAAAAAAAACAAAAAAGAACACACACACTTATGGAACCACAAATATAAACAGCTTGACTGCTTAATATATAAAGAACGTTAGTTATATTGCAGTGTGGTGCATTAAAACACGACAACCAGTCAGAAACATTTATTCAACTGGGCAGACAAATAAAGGACAGTTCTAGATTGGATAGCATAATCTACTACTGTGCCACTGCTGTCTGAACCGTATTAATAAATCTCGCTAGTTTTACAGTTTCCTATTAGGAAAGTGTATATCATATTGAATATAACGGAAACCAGTATTACCACAGTGAAAGTATGTCGAGGAGGAATTTAATCTGACTGTTGCAGCACTTTAAGCAATCTGCTGCAGTTCTTGAAAAGGTATTGTGCCTGAGCTGCTGGATTCTAAAATTCCATCATGTGAGCTATCTAAATCCGCTTTCATTCTATTTTATATGCTTTTCCCCCTTCTAAGCTACAAATCTATTTAAGAGAGAGATATATTAATGTCTTTTTTAGACAGATGATGTTTCTGAACTGGGGAAGAGTATGTTTTACAGCACAGTATCCTATTGTGCTAGCAAATCCTGCAGAACACATCCAATATTCCCCAGCAACACAATTCAGCGTTTGTATGAAGTGGAACATAGCGCTATTTATGACAGGCCTGCCTTTTTTTTCCTACAATGGCTGAAGTATGTGGAGATACGCAACCCAGTATGCTATGCTCTTTTCATAACTACACAAAAATGACAAAAAACGGGAATGAAAGGGACTCCTAAAATGACAGAAGCAATAGTATTTTCATGACACAGATATAAAAGTTTAACATTCTGCTAAAGTTCTCTGGATTAGGGGCAGTGTAGTCAGGGCCGGTGCTAGACTATTATTTTGCGCCCTAGGCAAGACCAGCTCCTGGCACCTCCCCTCTCGTGGCGCAAACCCCCCACCACCCCCC